GCCAAACAGTTCTAGTTTTGTTTCATCAGACCAGATGACATTTCTCTAAAAAGTACGATCTTTGTCCCCATGTGCAGTTGCAAACCGTAGTCTGGCTTTTTTTATGGCGGTTTTGGAGCAGTGGCTTCTTCCTTGCTGAGCTGCCTTTCAAGTTATGCCAATATAGGACTTGTTTTACTGTGGATATAGATACTTTTGTACCTGTTTCCTCCAGCATCTTCAAGAGGCAGTGCAAAGATAGCAAAGATAGAACTGCATTTGCCCCTTTCCCTTTAGACTTTCACAATATGCTACCATTCTGTATCTATTTCTTCCACACCCCGGAACCCACCATCCTCTCCTCCTGAATTAAAGCATGTGATACATATTACACATAACTCTGTTTGACAGCATCCCTCTCTTCCCTCTCCTCCCAAGTGCTTTCCAATAACAGCTGAACACACTTTTTAGGGATCTGTCCTCTGAACTTTGGCTGTCCTTGGGTTTCTCAGTTCACTCAGTTCTCAGTTCACAGACCCATAGGTGAGTCCAAAGCTCATATTTAATTTAACTATATTCTGGAACGCTGCTATTTATAGGGCACTCCCCCAAGGAACACATGAGATATTCAGCACTGCTGCACTCGGTCAGGTCACTTTGTGTGAGCATCAGTAGGTAGAAGGGGGAGTACATGGGCACAGTCTTTCCACGACCACTAGATGATTTGTTGTGTTTGCTAACTTATCTAATCCCCTGCACTTGCTGTCACTGTCACCTCCTCAAAAAGCCCCGGTACACGCAAAGGGAATCCGACAACACAGCACATGTATATTTCAAAGGCACAACTTGGAATAAGTAGATTTAAGTAGATAACATGTCATGTGTTTCGCTTTCTTTGGATGGGGTGTTCCTTTATTATTAAACGTGAATTCATATTGGATGTTGCTGCTCTTGATAAACTCTATTTGTATGAGTTTACAAACCAGTTTGGCCTGGTGTGTCACACTGCTATTCTTGCCAGTAAGACAAAATGTTATCAAAGTACAAATCATTCCATTGTGAAATAATGTTAAGGTTTACACCATACACTAGGTGACAATGACACAGGAAACCATTGAGTATCACCAAGGAAACAGTGCAGACGAAGGTGCAGATGCTGAGTGAGGACACTGACTGATAATGTATGGAATATGTTATATAACTTTTCTATGGGAAGAGCTTACTATAGGGAGGGCCGGGGGAATATAAGGTCACTGCTCTCAGATAGGGAAAATGAACAAGCAGTTGGAAGCATGTGGGAGTCAAGAGTCCTATAATGATGAACAGTGAGAGAATGGGTGAGATGAGAGAGAAATTTGAGCTATTTAAGGGAAAACTTTTGTACCTTATACTTACACAGTTTTTCACATTTTGAGTTAAAAGATCACAGAAGCCGCCAACCAACCACTATTTACACATGAAGCCATCAAGAATCTTAATAGAAATCTTCAAATGCAATTTCAATGAAAGAGACAAGGTTAGGGTGAGCTGACAAGTCCACACAAACCCTTGGAAATGTACAAAATGCAGGTTGGAAAGATAAAAAAGAGGCCAATAATCTCTCCCTTCAGGCGATTTCTATTTATAGGAGGGAAATGTCAGTACAGATTAGGATCAGTGACAGGCATTTGCTGCCCTCTACTGGAGAGAAGTGTTTTTAACGTGAGAACATCACTGTAGTGCATAAATCAAGCACATGGCATTTTCTATTGGTCTCATAACAATCTAGCATTGTATGATGGAAATGTAGATGTTAAAATGGCTTCTGGGGTATTTGGAATGTCTGGATATTATCAAACATTTAATAACACATTCAAAGCCAGAGACACACATAACTTACAGAGTGTGGATTCACGCTTACCTATACTTCCCTAACTCAGATGCAACAACATATGGGGCTGAATGGACTTGGTTAGTATACATGGTAAGAGCTCAGCATACCCAGACTGATGTGTTGTTGGCTGATCAGTGCTGGTCAGTAGTTGTGTTAGGAGTCAGGACAAAGTATTCTACTATTGTACTTTACTGAAGGATTTCCCCTCAGTACAGCTTTGCTGCCATCGTGTGTTAGTTTAGTGAGGTGATAAAACGTTTAATGCATGTTAATATGAGATGTGGCCTACAGAAAATGACATATTTCATGAATATAGAATTTTAATGTTGTGTTCAACAAATGAACAATCAAGTAATATTGTCAAAGACACAAGCCTAGACAAAACCTTTCGGATAACATTCAGATACTAGATTCTAAATAAGCTTCACCTAAGCAAATAAGTCACAATTCCCCCCCCCCCAAAAAAAAAAATGTACAAATCGAACTAGTTCAAGTACTAATATTCACTGCCAGAGAGAAAATACATATACTGTAACTTTGCAAAATGCATATCCATTTCTTACTTTTCCTATGTGCCATTGTGTTGTCACTAATTTATAACAATACTGAGAAATACAGTTGGTCCTTAAAAGACTAAGCTTTTTTAAATTAGAGCATACAACACCTTAGGTGACAACTGTAGCCTCTCAACCTAGAAAAAATACTATATAATTCAACAACATCTGCTACACTATACAAAAGTATGTGGACACCCCTTCAAATTAGTGGATTCGTCTATTTCAGTCACACCCGTTGCTGACAAGTGTATAAAATGGAGCACACAGCCATGCAATTGCCATAGACAAACACTGGCAGTAGAATGGTCTTACTGAAGAGCTCAGTGACTTTCAACGTGGCACCTTTCCAACAAGTCAGTTCGTCAAATTTCTGCCCTGCTAGAGCTGCCCCGGTCAACTGTAAGTGCTGTTATTGTGAAGTGGAAACGTCTAGGAACAACAATGGCTCAGCCGCGAAGTGGTAGGCCACACAAGCTCACAGAACGGGGCCGAGTGCTGAAGCGCGTAAAAATTGTCTGTCCTTGGTTGCAACACTCACTACCGAGTTCCAAACTGCCTCTTGAAGCAACGTCAGCACAAGAACTGTTTGTTGGGAGCTTCATGAAATGGGTTTCCATGGTCGAGCAGCCGCACACAAGCCTAAGATCACCATGCGCAAAGCCAAGCGTTGGCTGGAGTGGTGTAAAGCTCGCCGCCATTGGACTCTGGAGCAGTGGAAATGCGTTACCTGGAGTGATTAATCCCGCTTCACCCTCTGGCAGTCCGTCGGACGAATCTGGGTTTGACAGATGCCAGGAGAACGCTACCTGCCCCAATGCATAGTGCCAACTGTAAAGTTTGGTGGAGGAGGAATGAATGTCTGGGGCTGTTTTTCATGGCCCCTTAGTTCCAGTGAAGGGAAACCTTTCGGGTTGCAATACCCATTGATTACTGTCTAGAGTTGTATGACTAGTTTTGTACCAAGTAGGAGTTGAAAGACAGCACAGGCCTAAGTGTTCAACTTCAACACTAGTCGTAATAGTATGCTGTTAAGGCTTGCTAATACCAACAAGATCTAGATTCTAAACCAATTGGCAACGTCCATATCTCAGCAACTGAGCCAACTTATTTTTAACTGTTTTGTTGTTCAATAAACATTATACTATTATAGTATGTAACAAATAGATTTGTCTCTGCAAAAGCTAACAAATTTAGACTAGAGGCAATAACCCCCACCAAACCTTCCATAATGGATGTTTTCTGCTCAACAACTTAAAATGTGAGAAGAGTTCTTTGAAGATAAGAGGACTTCAAGGACTGGATATGTTTTATACACCAAGACAAAATACTGATAAAGGCGTAACTTCAACATATGTTATGTTAATATTGCTAGCTACTGTAGATTTGTCAGGAATTTCCCAACTGTATTCAGGTATACTGTAGCTATGTATTTGAACAATATTGGTACACCTACTTAAGTTACGACCCTCATTCACTGAAATCAAATACCAAAGCTAAGCATAGTATTCTGTATGGTTGGACTTGGACCTACATTAAATACTGACTTGTAAACAAAGAATACCTCTCCAAGTCAAGGCCTATCATGTACAGGTATTCACTGACAAGAAATAAAAGGTTTGCTTGCTTGACCTTAGTAACCATAGAAAAAGTGAGGTTTTTCCATGTAGGCCTACTCTTAACAAAACAAAAACTTGAACCCTCATCGTTATAGGTTTTACTTTGTAAAATGTATTCACAATAGTCCTGAACTTATTGTGCATTAGCCTAAGGGGCAATTCCACGGTATCACTTTAAAATGTATGAAAAACAATGATTGCAACGTTAAACAAACCTTACAACTCTATGCACAAGGACTACTTTTAACAAAAAAATTCTACAAAAACACATTTACTTGAAGAACAGTGCAGATGCAAATTTTGTTAACAGAATGATGGCACAAACAGCACAAACCGTAATTCTGTTGTTCCCTCTTGTCTGACCACTGTGATAGTCAGAGCAACTCCCTAGCTAACCCACCCTCTATTTATCTGTCCTTTCTTACGAGAGAAAGAGAAGATGTGCCTTATGAGGAAAAGATGCTAAAGAAAGGTAGAGTTATAATTCTAGAGGGCATCGTCCCTAGCAGAGTGCCTTCACTTTTAAAATGTCCCCCTGGGTGCAAAATGTTTCCGTCTCATTTCTCTCAGGACCAAACTGTTCAGAGGTTTCTCCTCTCCACATTGTAACTCAATCTCAAAACATCTCATACTACTGTATGTCCACAAAGGCTTCACTTGCAGTGTTCTCTGTGAATTCAAACAACTCTGACATAAAGGGAACCACAAATAAACGCCACAAATAAACGCCACAGGGCTTGGCTGGGAACACCAGCCAGGCCCTGTACAGTTAAAGTAAATCAATTCTGCCTCTGTTTTACAGTTTTTGTGTTGTGTATCCCCCATAGGCTTCATTTAGCGGAGTGCTCAAATAGCACTGGGAGACAGAGAGGGACCATGCATCCCTATGGGCTGGGGGCCAAAGCAAGGGGCCTGATACTCGGTGTTCACAGTCCACGGGAAGATGGTGGAATGGCAGTGTCCCTTTCCGCCCCATCAGTACTTGTTAATCCCAAAGATCCGGACTCCGTGAAGCTGGGGGAGCTTGGGAATGAGCACAGTCATCAGGGAGACTGTGTTGACCACAAAGTGGGCCCGGTCATATTTGGTGTAGAAGCTGGTGAGGATGTAGCTAGGGGGAGAGGAAGAATGTATGAGGGAGAGAAAGAAAGGGTAGGTCAAAGAAAGACTGAAGCTGGGAGAAGGAGGTCATTTAACAAGTTACAGTGAGGGAAAAAAGTATTTGATCCCCTGCTGATTTTGTACGTTTGCCCACTGACAAAGACATGATCAGTCTATAATTTGAATGGTAGGCTTATTTGAACAGTGAGAGACAGAATAACAACAACAAAATCTAGAAAAACACATGTCAAAAATGTTATAAATTGATTTGCATTTTAATGAGGGAAATAAGTATTTGACCCCTCTGCAAAACATGACTTAGTACTTGGTGGCAAAACCCTTGTTGGCAATCACAGAGGTCAGACGTTTCTTGTAGTTGGCCACCAGGTTTGCACACATCTCATGAGGGATTTTGTCCCACTCCTCTTTGCAGATCTTCTCCAAGTCATTAAGGTTTCGAGCCTGACGTTTGGCAACTCAAACCTTCAACTCCCTCCACAGATTTTCTATGGGATTAAGGTCTGGAGACTGGCTAGGCAACTCCAGGACCTTAATGTGCTTCTTCTTGAGCCACTCCTTTGTTGCCTTGGCCGTGTGGTTTGGGTCATTGTCATGCTGGAATACCCATCCACGACCCATTTTCAATGCCCTGGCTGAGGGAAGGAGGTTCTCACCCAAGATTTGACAGTACATGGCCCCGTCCATCGTCCCTTTGATGCGGTGAAGTTGTCCTGTCCCCTTAGCAGAAAAACACCCCCAAAGCATAATGTTTCCACCTCCATGTTTGACGGTGGGGATGGTGTTCTTGGGGTCATAGGCAGCATTCCTCCTCCTCCAAACACGGCGAGTTGAGTTGATGCCAAAGAGCTCCATTTTGGTCTCATCTGACCACAACACTTTCACCCAGTTCTCCTCTGAATCATTCAGATGTTCATTGGCAAACTTCAGACGGGCCTGTATATGTGCTCTCTTGAGCAGGGGGACCTTGCGGGCGCTGCAGGATTTCAGTCCTTCACGGCGTAGTGTGTTACCAATTATTTTCTTGGTGACTATGGTCCCAGCTGCCTTGAGATCATTGACAAGATCCTCCCGTGTAGTTCTGGGCTGATTCCTCACCGTTCTCATGATCATTGCAACTCCACGAGGTGAGATCTTGCATGGAGCCCCAGGCCGAGGGAGATTGACAGTTATTTTGTGGTTCTTCCATTTGCGAATAATCGCACCAACTGTTGTCACCTTCTCACCAAGTTGCTTGGCGATGGTCTTGTAGCCCATTCCAGCCTTGTGTAGGTCTACAATCTTGTCCCTGAAATCCTTGGAGAGCTCTTTGGTCTTGGCCATGGTGGAGGGTTTGGAATCTGATTGATTGATTGCTTCTGTGGACAGGTGTCTTTTATACAGGTAACAAACTGAGATTAGGAGCACTCCCTTTAAGAGTGTGCTCCTAATCTCAGCTCGTTACCTGTATAAAAGACACCTGGGAGCCAGAAATCTTTCTGATTGAGAGGGGGTCAAATACTTATTTCCCTCATTAAAATGAAAATCAATTTATAACATTTTTGACATGCGTTTTTCTGGATTTTGTTGTTGTTATTCTGTCTCTCACTGTTCAAATAAAACTACCATTCAAATTATAGACTGATCATTTCTTTGTCAGTGGGCAAACATACAAAATCAGCAGGGGATCAAATACTTTTTTCCCTCACTGTATTGTCTGGACAACAACAAGTATCTGCTTATTTTTTCTCCCCAACAGGCTCAGGAGAGGCGAAGGTCGAGTCATTCGTACTCCGAAACAATTGTGCGCCGCCCTATGGGACTCCCAATCACAGCCGGTTGTGACACAACCTGGGATCGAACCCAGGTCTGTAGTGACGCCTCAAGCACTACGATGCAGTGCCTTAGACCGCTGCGCCACTCGGGAGGCCAGGTATCAGCTTTTTGGTCGACAGTTACATGTCTTTCCAATTAACAATGCCACGTGAAATTGTCAACTGTTGTGACTTTTGAAGATCAAAGTGACAAGAATTTCTCCTCCAAAAAAACGTAATAATAAGAGGATGTATCTCCCAATAGATGCATCATGGCTCATTGACTAAGCATTAGTGACAAAGCATCTCCCAGGAGTGTCTCTAACTAAGGCCTCCTGCTGCCAGCAAGCACAGTAGGCACCACAGCAGCCCACAGACTGGCTGGAAGAGGCTGCTGAGAGGACAGCAGAGAAACAAACAATATTTAAAAGATATGCTTCACTTTACAGTCCTATTCCTCCTTAAATACCAATGTAACACTTTGCATGAAATTATACTTTGCATGAAATTAAAGGGTTTAATAGTAGTAAACAGACTATTAGTTTATAAGTATAAAACAGTAATAAACATATAAACAGTGCAGCACATTGTACTGTAGAGGTCCTTACAGGACGATGGGGGTGATGGTGAGGAACTTGCGTGAGGCAGTGAACTGGACACCATAGTCCATCTGCTCCCAGTATGTGTAGAAGCGAGCCTTGCTCTGATCGGGAGTCTCAAACGGAGTTCCTTTCACCAAGTGTAACAACAGGTACATGCACTGCAACACACACAGCACAGAATAGTTGGTCAGGAAAGCTTTAGCTGTTACAGTGCATTCAGAAAGTATTCAAACCCATTCCCTTTTTCCACATTTTGTTACATTACAACCTTTTGATACACACAATACCCCATAATGACAAAGCAAAAACAGGTTTAAAAAATAAATAATAATAATAAATAAGTACATAAGTATTCAGACCCTTTGCTATGACACTCGAAATTGAGCTCAGGTGCATCCTGTTTCCATTGATTATCCTTGAGATGTTTCTACAACTTGATTGGAGTCCACCTGTGGTAAATTCAATTGATTGGACAGGTAGCTTAGTGGTTAAGAGCATTGTGCCAGTAACCGAAAGGTCGCTGGTTCTAATCCCCGAGCCGACTAGGTGAAAAATCTGTTGATGTGCCCTTGAGCAAGGCACTTAACCCTAATTGCTCCTGTAAGTCGCTCTGGATAAGAGTGTCTGCTAAATGACAAAAAAATTAAAATAAATAAAAGGAACAAAAATAAATTACAAATTGGAAAGCCACACACCTGTCTATATAAGGTCCCACAGTGCATGTCAGAGCAAAAACCAAGCCATGAGGTCAAAGGAATTGTCCTTAGAGCTCAGAGACAGGATTGTTTCGAGGCACAGATCTAGGGAAGGGTACCAAAAGTTTGGAACCACCAAGACTCTTCCTAGAGCTGGCCGCCCGGCCAAACTGAGAAATCGGGGGAGAAGGGCCTTGGTCAGGGAGGTGACCAAGAACTCGATGGTGACTCTGACAGAGCTCCAGAGTTCTTCTGTGGACATGGGAGAACCTTCCAGAAGGACAACCTTCTCTGCAGCACTCCACCAATCAGGCCTTTATGGTAGAGTGGCCAGACGGAAGCCACTCCTCAGTAAAAGGCACATGACAGCCCGCTTGGAGTTTGCCAAAAGGCACCTAAAGGACTCTCAGACCATGAGAAACAAGATTCTCTGGTCTGACGAAACCAAGATTGCACTCTTTGGCCTGAATGCCAAGCGTCACGTCTGGAGGAAACCTGGCACCATCCCTACGGTGAAGCATGGTGGTGGCAGCATCATGCTGTGGGGATGTTTTTCAGCGGCAGGGACTGGGAGACTAGTCAGGATCGAGGGAAAGATGAACGGAGCAAAGTACAGAGTGATTCTTGATGAAAACCTGCTCCAAAGCGCTCAGGACCTAAGATTGGGGTGAAGGTTCACCTTCCAACAGGACAACGACCCTAAGCACACAGCTAAGACAACGCAGGAGTGGCTTCGGGACAAGTCTCTGAATGTCCTTGAGTGGCCCAGCCAGAGCCCGGACCTGAACCCGATCTAACATCTCTGGAGAGATCTGAAAATAGCTGTGCAGCGACGCTCCCCATCCAACCTGACAGAGCTTGAGAGGATCTGCAGAGAAGAATGGGAGAAACTCCCCAAATACAGGTGTGCTGAGCTTGTAGCGTCATACTCAAGAAGACCCAAGGCTTTAATCGCTGCCAAAGGTGCTTCAACAAAGCACTGAGTAAAGGGTCTGAATTATTATGTAAATGTGATATTTCCATTTTTTTCTTTTTATACATTTGCAAAAAATTCTAAAAACCTGTTTTTGCTTTGTCATTATGGGGTATTGTGTGTAGATTGATGAGGGAGAAAAAACGATTTAATTAATTTTAGAAAAAGGCTGTAATGTAACAAAATGTGGAATAAGTCAAGGGGTCTGAATACTTCCTGAATGCACTGTATATTCAAAATTGCATGGGCAAAAGTGATACTATGCATTTTTCAGTAGCGTACAACCACAAATCGATGTATTTTAGGAAAGGGTGTGTAAGCTGATATAGTACTGTTCTGTGACTTTTATAGCAATGCAACTGTTTATAGCAATGCAATTGCAAATGTTTAAGACTGCCCCATGGATTATTGACTTTATTGACCTTCACTCTGCCCTCTCCTAATGACAGTGCAGGAGTTTGCTTATAGAGACTACCATTGTGTGGATAACACTGACTGGACCATCCACCTACAGTACTTAGGTTATAAAGTGGTGAGGTTTCACTGGTGCCCCTAGGCATAGCCTAATAAGGAGCCCACTACCCACCAGGTTGTGTATGAGGTTGGTGAGGGTCCAGACCACGGGTACGCTAGCGAAGGGGATGCTGAGCAGGACGACGTGCAACAGGCCGATGCCCAGGAGGTAGGAGAGCCAGATGCCCCGGCTGTTCATCACCTGCGTGTTGGGGTTCACCTCGCTGTGCGCCGTGCCCACATTCATGATGTCAACGCACCAGTCACCACGCTCCTCGTCCGCCTGAGAAACAGAACAGAAGGGTGTGTGATATAATTCCTTATAGGTATGCCGATCATTATCCATAATGCAAACAATACGGCAAGGGTACAGCTTGACTATTCCATCCATGTACTGTTCATTAGACCCTATTGGGAGGGGGTTGGGTCCTTTTATAGGCTTGTCTAAGTTAGTTGGAATGTGGTGAACTAGGTTGTGTGTAACTTTGGGGAGGGAGTCTAGCTGAAATGTTACTGACAATAGAGTAGTCTTGATCATACAGTATAAAAAGATGCAAAGACTCTTCAAGTACCTAAAAGAGTCATCAAAAGAATTACAACATAGTCATGACCCATCATGTATGTAGGGCAGGCTGATTCAAGTCAAATATTGTACTTTCTTCATCAGTTCTTCCAAAAGTTTCCATGATCAAATTGAAATAATACAGTATGATCTAACACACTGCATCATGTACTACTGTAATAATAATAATAATAAGTAAATCAAGTAAATACAAATAATTCAGATAATAGCCTACTTAGAGGAGAAAATGGCTTCAATCAGGCTTTTATCTTCAGTCTGTTATCACGGTATTCCTCTTATTCGCTATCTCCTTCGCTGGTTAGGTAATTGACATCATTAGGTTAGACTGCTATATCGTTTCGATTAGTCATTCATTCACATACCTTCTTATTGATTCTTTATGCAATGTTATCCTTCAGATCATAGCCCGACATTCAGGCTAAACAGTTCAACTCCCAGCCACTTTGTTCGTCTTGCGCACAGCTGGTGGCAACACAGCACAATTCATATAAAACGTCATCATTTTCAGAGCTCCAAATTTGGGATAAATTGTTTTTATTCATCGCTCTTAGCGCCGATTGGTGCCTTTACATCACATGGGTAAAACGGACCAATAAAATTGGAATGCGTTGAAACGCTAGAGATACGCCCCCTTGCAACGTCACAGGAATGGGAGTGAGAGGGCACTTTTCATGGGTAATGAACTGGCACATTTTTTAAATTCGTTTTAAAATATAGCATTATGACACTATAGATAGACCATCTCTGACTATTATCAATAGGTCAACCTTTGATATCAAAACAAATGGTATAACTTTATTTGTACGGTAGGCCTACAGAAATCACCAAGTATTCACTGAGAAAGTACATAATAAATAGTAATTACACAGTAATAAACTATTCATATATATATATTTTCTTAGGAATTAATTAAATCCAGCACCACAGGCACCATTTGGCAGGCTACCAAGTAGTTACAAATTGTGTTAAATTCTTTGAAGTAAGAAAAGTAGGCCTACCCATTACGTCACCACATACTTTCCTAAATACTGTGCCTTCAGAAAGTATTCATACCCTTTCCCTTATTCCACATTTTGTTGTGTTACAGCCTGAATTCAAAATGGATTAAATATATTTTTCTTCTCACCCATCTACACACAATCCCCTATAATGACAACGTGAAAACATGTTTTTATAAAAAATAAAAATAAATGTGATAAGCATTCACACCCCTAAGTCAATACTTAGTAGAAGCCCCTTTGGCAGCGATTACAGCTGTGAGTCTTTCTGTGTAAGTCTCTAAGAGCTTTCCACACCTGGATTTGCCCATTATTCTTTTCAAAATTCTTCAAGCTCTGTCAAATTGGTTGTTGATCATTGCTAGACATCCATTCAGGTCTTGCCATAGATTTTCAAGTAGATATAAGTCAAAACTGTAACTCGGCCACTCAGGAAAATTCACTGTCTTCTTGGTAAGCAACTCCAGTGTAGATTTGTCCTTGTTTTTTAGGTTATTGTCCTGCTGAAAAGTGATTTCATCTCCCAGTGTCTAGTGGAAAGCAGACTGAACCAGGTTTTCCTCTAGGAATTTGCCTGTGCTTAGCTCCATTCCGTTTCTTTTTTATTCTGAAAAATGTCCCAGTCCGTAACAATTACAAGCATAGCCATAACATGATGCAGCCACCATTACGCTTGAAAATATGGAGAGTGGTACTCAGTAATGTGTTTTATTGGATTTGCCCTAAACCTAACACTTTGTATTCAGGACAAAAAGTTTTGCAGTATTACTTTAGTACCTTGTTGCAAACAGGATGCATGTTTTGGAATATTTTTATTCTGTACAGGGTTCTTTCTTTTCACTCTGCCAATTAGGTTAGTATTGTGGAGTAATTACAATGTTGTTGATCCATCCTCAGTTTTCTCCTATCACAGCTATTAAACTATGTAACTGTGAAATCCCTGAGCAGTTTCCTTCCTCTCCAGCAACTGAGTTAGGAAGGACGCCTATATAATAATAATAATATGCCATTTAGCAGACGCTTTTATCCAAAGCGACTTACAGTCATGCGTGCATACATTTTTGTGTATGGGTGGTCCCGGGGATCGAACCCACTACCTTGGCGTTACAAGCGCCGTGCTCTACCAGCTGAGCTACAGAGGACCACCAAATCAAATCAAATTTGATTGGTCACATACACATATTTAGCAGATGTTATTGCGGGTGTAGCGAAATGCTTGTGTTTCTAGGTCCAACCATGTAGTATCTTTGTAGTGACTGGGTGTATTGATACACCATTCCAAGTGTAATTAATAACTTCACCATGGTCAAAGGGATATTCAATGTCTGCTTTTTTATTTTTACCTTTCTGTGGGCACTGTAGATAAATACTGATGTAGGCCAACAGTAAAATAAAGTGTTGTCAAATAGATAACTATTTTTGCTAATGGCTCCATTTGACCAAAACAAATAGTCTAGCTCCATTCTTTAGATAATTCTGACATCATTTCAATCATTTCAATCATAATTTGATATTTGTGCACAAAAGGAGGTCTTTGGCTCTTTTATGTGGTGGGATAGTGGAGGCTCCTCTAAGCAGTGAGAATGACTGACGAGGTTGATGCCTGAGACTCACAAATCAAAGAAGATCAAGAGTGTCATGTTCTAGATCCCCAGATAAGTCCAAACACTAATTTAGGGAACGCCGTTCCCTAAAGCTGAGGGGGTCAGCTATGTTCCATTTACCTGGGTGGTTATGTGATACCTACTGTTTTCTAAGGGTGCCCCAAGTTGAGTGGCATTACGTTGAGTGTTTGGCCAGCTGACAAGGTATTTTCTCATGTTTATAGCCCTGGGTGTTACAGAGCGGTGTGTTAGAGATGGAAACCTAGATCTACCGTCACATGCAAATACAGAACAATGCTCTGAGATCATAGCTGGCATTGAAAATAATGGAAAAACCATAACAGTGCCCAAGACTCCTATCAAGTCTCTACTCATGGCCATATCATAATATCTATACTTTTGTCATTATTTTCAAAGCCAGCCATGATCTAAGTGCATTGTGCTGTAGGTTGCATAAATCCAAATCTGAGACATGTTCTTTTTTGTACATGTTTTAATGCTCACCCTGATGTGTTCTGGCTACATGACGAACACAGGCTAGAATTCTATTTCAGAAAGGGCGTATTCAATATTGCCCAATTTATTTTCAAAGCCTGGGGGAGAACGAGGTATTGTTTGTATAAATCAACCTTATCAATATAATGTGACAATGTGGTAGTTGTTCATGCTACGATTATGACTCTTTTGTTAAATGTATTTTGTTTTGTGTTTTGTTAGTGTCTAATTCGCCCTATGGGCTGGGCACTAAATGGTGTATGACACTGAAATAAAATCAAGCAATCAAATCCAATCCATTCCAATCAAATGAGATCATCTTCAGAATATGTTCAATCAACGGTCATAGACATACATATATTCACTGTCAATGCCACTGATTTCCCCTTATTCATTTTCAGAGGTGACAACATTCTTGTCATACAAAATTCAGAAACATGAGGAGTCAATAATGTAATGTATAATGTAATGTATAGGCTGAAGCATGGGCCTCGATCTTCAGCCCACTGTGGATATCTTTCATGTTTTATTGTAGAGCTACAGTATGAAAAACACCTAGTCTGACGTGGGTGGAAATGGGATCCCTGGACTAAAACAACTGGCTACTTTGGTGGATGATCAAATTAAAGCTTCAAAGTCTTTGTGGTCTCTTCCCCTCGTCCATCTCTTTCACTACCAATTTTTTTTGGATAGTTGTTCAGATATATTCTGGAGCGGACTACATTTCTATACACTCTGCCTGGTCCCTCGAGGCTCTCCCAGTAAGGCTTTCAAACGTAACATGATGCTGTTGATAGGACTCGTGCCTGTAATAACAGCTTTTAATGATAAGATACCTTTCATGCTTAGATTATCTTCTGGCATTATTGTCTCTCTTTCGCTCTAGGGCCTTCGTTTCTGTAACATAAACCCACGTTTTCCATAGAGACTCAATGCATTTATAGGCAAAAATTATTGTCATTTACTATTGATATAATACAATAATAAGGAAAAAGCCCACATTTACAGTAATTTGTATATACACACTACCAGTCAAAAGTTTGGACACACCTACTCATTCAAGGGGTTTTATTTATTTTTTACTATTTTTTACATTATAGAACAATAGTGAAGACATCAAAACTATGAAATAACACAATGTAATCATGTAGTAACCGAAAAAGTGTTATAAAAATCAAAATATATGTTATTTTTGAGATTCTTCAAATAGCCACCCTTTGCCTTGATGACAGCTTTGCACACTCTTGGCATTCTCTCAATCAGCTTCATGAGGTAGTCACCTGGAATGCATTTCAATTAACAGGTGTGCCTTGTTAAAAGTTAATTTGTGAAATTTATTTCCTTCTTTATGCATTTGAGCCAATCAGTTGTGTTGTGACAAGGTAGTGGGGTATACAGAAGATAGCCCTATTTGGTAAAAGACCAAGTCCATATTATGGCAAGAACAGCTCAAATAAGCGAAGAGAAACGACAGTCCATCATTTCTTTAAGACATGAAGGTCAGTCAATACGGAAAGAACGTTGAAAGTTTGAAAGTTTCTTCAAGTGCAGTCACAAAAACCATCAAGCTCTATGATGAAACTGGCTCTCATGAGGACCGCCACAGGAATGGAAGTTACCTCTGCTGCAGAGGATAAGTTCATTAGAGTCAGAAATTGCAGCCCAAATAAATGCTTCACAGACTTCAAGTCACAGACACATCTCAACATAAACTGTTCTACATTGTAGAATAATAGTGAAGACATCAAAGCTATGAAATAACACATATGAAATGGCTATTTGAAGAATCTAAAAAATAAAATATATTTTGATTTTTTTAACACTTTTTCGGTTACTACGTGATTCCATATGTGTTATTTCATAGTTTTGATGTCTTCACTATTATTCTACAATGTAAAACATTGTATATATAAAGAAAACCCTTGAATGAGTAGG